GCCTCAGCTCTCCCTCTTCTCTCTCTCCTGACCATCCTGCACATGTTGTACTCCAGCCACGCTGCTCTTGTCACCATATCTCAGACATACCTTGCCCTCTCAGGCCTTCCTGTGTTTGCTCACTATGCTGTTTCTTGTGTCCATTCCCATTCTCTCCACCTGGCGAGTTCCTTCTTAATTATGAGACCAGCCCTGATATAACCTCCTCTGGGAATCCTTCCTTGATGGCCCCAGGAATAGCCTATAACTTCCCCCTTTTCCTTCTCATATATGACTCTCAACCTTTTTATTGTTACTGTTTTAAGCTTGTCTCCTTAGACTGGGAGTTAGCTGAGAGCAGAGACCATGTCTGATTCATGGCTGTGTCCCCATCAGTACCAGACAGGGCCACAGAGCAGACATGTAGGATATGGTGGTTAGTTGGGTATTTGAATGAATGAATGAGTGAAATCCCCAGAACTGCTGTTTCCCAGAGTAAGCCCGTTTTATAGCAAAAAGGGAAGCAGAAGGAAGGGACTGCTCTGGAAAGGAGAAAGAAAATCAATAAAAGTGTAAATCTGGTTGAGAAAAGCTGTCCTAGGCTGGCTGTGGATAAGATGGGGCCGGCTGAGCCCTGGCTGACAGTGAAAGAGAGATGAGGGAGGGCACAAGTGGAGCTGGGGCAGGGCAGGGCAAAGGGAGTGTGTCTCCCCTTAGTAGTGACTTCTCCCTCTGTCTTCACTGCACTCTTCCCACCCCCATGCTCTATGTGCTCATTAAATTCTTTCAGGGACAGAGGAAAGGGAAGAAAACAGAATTATTGATCATCACGTGCGGTGCCTGTGATTAACTGTATACTCTTACTTGGTCTTCACAACTTTTGGGAGCTAGGCGATAGGTATGATCAACCTCACTTTACAGGTGAAGAAACTGAGATGTAGAGAAATTAAATCATTTGTTCAGAGGCACGCCATGAGTAAGCAGCAGAGTCAAGATTTGAATGCAGATCCGTTCTTTTCACTCTAAGAGTTTTTGCCTTGAGATCCTGGACTCCTAGAAGGTCTACAACCAGGCTTCAGATGGTCCTTAACCTCTGAAATTGTATGCACAATTGTGTTTGTGTTCATTTTAAAATGGAAAGTCTGTATCTTTTGTCAGATTCCCAAAGACAGTTGTCACTACTCCCCATTGCTTATACCATGCTACCTCCTGGAGGTGGTAGCATTTGACCTGGGCCTGGAAGATTGGATAGAACTTCATGAAGTGAGAATGGAGAGAGAAATCATGCAGTGGGGATGAAGAAGGCAATCTGGGGCGGAGGGTACAGCCCAAGCAATTCCAACTCATAGTAACCCTATATGACAGAGTAGAACTGCCCCATAGGATTGCCTAGGTTGTGAGTTGGAATCAACTCAATGGCACATGACAACGATTTTCATGGGAGCAGATTTTCAGGTCTTTTCTCCCACAGAGCCACTGGTGAGTTCAAACGCCAACCTTTCGGTTAGCAGCTGAGTGTTTTAACCATTGCACCATCAGGGTTCATTAAAGGAATGGTACTGAGAAAGAATTCAACATGTTCAGGGAGTGGTGAGGTGCCTATGGGTTCTTGCTCCTCATTTATTTGGGCTTTAATCATGGATCCTGGCTCCCAACTCTTGAGGGGCATCTGCTTGCTCTGGTACTTCCCAGCATGAGCTCATAGACAGAAGGAACTCAGACCCAGCTATCAGGTCATCAGTTCTGGTCCCAACACTGCCCTATGACCTGGTGTGGGATCCGGATTTTACCAGCAGTAGAATCTAGCAGGTACACTTTACCTTCTCTCTATTGCTTGGTACAGGGTGAGAAGAAAGTGATCTCACAGATGCAAAAGTCTGTGGCTCTTCATTGACCAGGGACTCTATTAAGGGAGAGGGCTGCTCCCTGGACCTCTCAGTCTCTGGGAAGCCCTTTGGCCCTTACCTGCTCCACCCCTTGGCTGGCTCTTGGCCCCATGTCACTCTTGTGGGGACTCCTGGTGTTTCCTCATCTCACCAGCCTGGGAGGGACAGCAGCAATGTGTTCATATAGTCATGGTTTTGTGAAATTTGAAAAGATGAGATACTTTAGCCACCATCAGTTAAGACTGCTATTTCCTTCCACTCTGTCTTCCCTTTGTGTTACAGTTTGCCTTGATGTGAGATGGTTGGAGAACCCACAGGCATTTCTGGGATCTGTCAAGTTGGGGGAAGTCAAGTTGGGGATAGACTCAGTTTGGTCTCATTGGGATACATTTATGTGGCTCTCAGTCACTTCTGTGTATAGATAAACCATTGCTAGCCATCTCTGTGTAGGGAATGGCTTCTAGGAATATTCCTACCCACTGCCTGACTCAGCGTGGCATTGTGACATTGAGATGTCACATCTAGAGGTCATCGCATGATATGAATGTGTTTTATGCTGCCTGGCCTGTAAGGATATGGGCAACGGAAGAGAAACAGGAGAGACAAGATTTGAAATGTACGGAGCTAGAAGCTAGTCTGTAGGAAATTCTTTTAATCATAATGGGAAAAAAAAAGTATTTTAGAGGTATGTAAGGCAATAATATAGTTAATAAAATATTATGTGATTTTTCTAGATTGTGTGATGTATTTAATTTGGTTTTACTTTTTTTTTCATTCTAAGAAAATATTCACTTTCTCACCTAATTTTGTATTCTTTTTCTTAATGAGGGCTCCCAAAATTGTGTAAACAGTTCCCACAAATCGGGATCCATCCTTAGCTTCACCGTTTATTTTCTGTGTAATCTTGTGCAGTCACTTATCCTTTCTGAGTCCATTTCCTCTTCTGTAAAATGGGGCTAACAGTTTGGATAGGTGAGGACTCAGAGAGCTTCGTGACCTTATTCCATTTCTGAAACCATTACTAGAGGAAGTAGCCCAGCCAAATGAAAATTAAGCCCGAATGTGAAGATAGGGAAAGATGTATTATACAAGACATAATGGCGAGCAATGAAACCAGTAAAACTTAAATCTAAATAACTGGAAATAATGTGGTCGTTGCAAACTTCAATGCGGTTTGTAAGAAAAGATTTTTGTAATAGAAGAGACATTATGCAAGAACAAATTTAATAATAAGCTGTATCTGTAATTCCAGATTATTTATGCAAAACCTGGGAAACAGGAGGGAAGGAAAAGAAAATACAAACATACTATTAAGTTCTTATCTGGTTAGAGGAGACTCTGAAATTCTTGCCATTAATAAATACAGCTCAGATATTTGCTAAACATTTAAAGGTATCAATCGATAGAATAAAATAGTGAATTAGAACTTCTGTACCTCCCTCTTCTTTCATGTGGGAAAACTTCAAACTCCTGCCACCGGGAGTTGCTCAGAGGGCACGAGCCACATGCATCCCGCCCCCTGCCCCAGCTTGTCCCACAGTCCTGAGCACAGGGCTTGGGAAGCCACTGCTGATGGCTCCCCATCTCCTGCCTCTTCCCCAACCAGGTGGGGGCATCAGACAGGTGGGGTGTGTGGTGGCAACAGAATGAGCTGGGAGCAGATCAGGAAACTTTCTCCCCCTCCCAGGGAAATAACCAGGTCAGGGAGTCGATTCTGACTCACAGCAGCCCCATAGGACAGAATAGAACTGCCCGATAGGGTTTCCAAAGCTGTAATCTTTACAGAAGCAGACTGCCACATCGTTCTCTTGCAGAGTGGCTAGTGAGTTCGAACTGCTGACCTTTTGGTTAGTAGCCAAGCACATAACCACTGCACCACCAGGACTCCTTAGGCCAGATGGAACTGGCATAAAATAAGACCTGATGTAGAAAAGGATTGAATTGTTCAGGCCCAAGCATTGCACAGATTTGTTCTTTACACAGAGCTGGGCATTACTGCTCCCAGCATTATAGGCCTGGGTGTTAAAAAGAACCAGTCCTTACACCAACCCCAAAGAGAACCAGATGTCACCCAAAACACTTGGGTGTCACTAAACCAGGTATTATCTACACAGCCCCTGGTAACACAGACAGACATCTGGACAGAATTGGGGGAAACTAGGATTCTATTCACAAAAGAGGTTGCAGAGACTTTGATGGTACCTGGTCAAATGTACAAAATCTTGACCACCCGTTGGTACCAGTGAATGTGTTTTGAGTGTGTGTTTGGTCTCTAAAGTTAGGAAATTACCCAAGTGTGGGGCCTGGGTCTCCCTCCCTAGACCAGGGTCCCTAAAGGCAGGGACTAGGCTTCACTCCCATACTGTGGGTCCCTGAGTCTGGAGACTCGAGTCTTCCCCTTCAGCTAAGGCTCCCTGAAGGCAGTACCAATGAGGATAGACTGGAGTCCCTCATACCAGGCCCCTGAATGCCCTATCAACCCTGGATGTCCTGAGGGTGAGGCCTGTTAACTTCCACCAGTGGGTCTCCCTTTAGAGCCCAGCTTAGGATTGGCCTCTAGGGGGCACCAAACAGTCAAATCTTTACAGAGGCTGACCTGGCCCCACCTCCAGGCTGAGCCGGGCTTGGGGAGACCAGAGTTCATCTTGACTACACAGATGCTCACAGCTGGAACAAGCCTGAAAGCAGGCAAGTCCACTCCCACTGTACAGAGGAGGTGGTTGAGGCTCAGAGAGGGTGCTCCAGGGGAGCAGCAGAGCTAGGCTGGGCCCAGTGTGGAGGGCAGCCTGGCCTACTGTGGTCGACTTTCCTGTCCCGGGCCCCAGGGAAAGATGCGTAGCCCTTCCACCCAGGAAAGCCTGGTTCAAGGTCAGCCTGTTGGCTGAGGAATGAAGGGAAAGAGCTTCTTGCACAGAAGTAAGTGATCAACACAGCAAATCCTCAAATAATGTCATGGTTCAGATGAGCAAATGAAAGCCCAGAGAGGGTCAGTGACTTGTCTGAAGTCACACAGCAAGTTAGAAGAATAGCCAGAATTGGAACACAGGGCTCCTGACACCCAGTCTGGGGAAAAGAGCCCAGAGGAGGTATCTTCTGGGACTGCCACTCGCGGCCAGAGTGGGGCCCTGAGACAGCTCACACTTTGGACTCCTCAAGCTTCTTCTCTGGCCCTGACTCTAACTGCTGCTGCTCTAGGCCACAGCTAGGCAGGGTCGTCTTGGTTCCCGCCTCTTTGTCCTGCTGCCTCAGGATGGCCATAATCAAGATGAAGCAGACCAGGGAGCCCGTCTTGAAGAAGAACTGGAGGCCGATGAACCTAGGGGAAAAAGCAAGGGACCCTTGAAAAGGACCTCTCAGTCCAAGACTTGGATATCCTCAGGCTGGTGGCATGGTGGCATCAACAGTCCTCACCCACTGTGCAGTGAAAGCCATTGAGGACTTAAGGGGAGTAGAGGCGTTCAGCCCCAGGACAGCAGACCCCAGCACCATGGCCGTGGCTGGGGAGACATGGGGATCCCCTGGAGTTGATCCTTATGGGGCCCTTCCTTGGAACAGGGGCAGAGGCTCTGCAGATGGGGCCCCAGGCAAGGATGGGACAGAAGCCTGGGCATCTTCCCTGCCCTGTCCCTGCCTGCTGTGTGGCTGGAACCAGCCTTGTCTCTCTCTCTCCCCTCTCTAAGAGTTCATGGGCCTAACAATTGCACCTTTGGATGTCCTCACCCCTCCCAAGAAAAAGAGGATTCCATCTGTCCTATTCGTCTAACTCACCAAGGCTCTTGTTTGACTTTTCCTCCCCTAGGAATCCCCCCTGGACAGTCTCTGCCTCTAGGGACCATGCCCTCTTCAAAGCTGAAAGTGACTACCCACTCCCTGCCCCAGCCCTGCTAGCAAGCTTGTCCATATCCATCCTAGAGCTAGCAGCCTCTCTGTCTTCAGGTTCTTCTGAGCTCCCTGTTGTACAGATGGAAAGACTGAGCCCCAGAGAAGAAGCCCCAGTCTCTCTCATAGCTAGGCCACTCCATGATTCTCCCCCAGGCCCAGCCTGTGACAATATCATGGTCCCTGCACAGACTCTATGATCACATGGCTTGGGTTGGAGGGCCAGCTTTGACAGTTATTAGCTGTGTGACCTTGGGCGACTTGCTTTAACTCTCAATTTCCTCATCTATAAAAGGAAGAGAGTCAAGCTTGCAGGACTGGAGTGCTCAGCACTGGATACAGCACCTGCCACATAGCAGGTGGATGTAATGGGACCTCCACTTCCCTGCTGGTGTCCTGCCTGGGTCCCAAGTGTCTTTCCAGCCCCCTTCCCACAGTCCCCTGGCAGCCTCCCCGCCAAGTCTCACCGGGTTCGGAGCAGATCGTGGTCATAGTAGCGGCAGACAGCTCGACGTCCACAGCTCTGGGCCCAGTACACACAGGTGGTATCAATGGCGCTGCCATGGATCACGGGGCTGGGCATCCAGGCTGCAGGAGGAGATGCTCAAGGGACAATGGAGGCCCGGCATTCCCACCCCCTCACCACACTCCCTGGCACACACGGACCCCTCGGGGCTCTGGACCTCCAGGGGCCTCTTGGCTTAAGAAGTGTTTGAACCTCAAGCCCACCCCTTAGCCTTGCATCAGATGGAGCCTCCCTGACAGTCTGCCTAGCTTCTGCTCATCGCGTCCAGAGTACCTGGGAGCCACAAGGTCAGGGACTGGGCCCCACTCATCCCTGTGGGGTCCACTCATCATCTGGACCCCATCACTACCACCAATGGTCCCAAGCAGGCTGTTTACCAAAAACTCTCAGGAGCATGAACTGGATGCCCACAGCAAAAGTCTTGTCTTCTTTCTTCACTCCCCTAACAAGCAAAGACATTAGAACATGAGGATAGAGAGTTCCAGCCCCCAAGGGCCATGCAGCAGAGTGGAGGGGCTCTCACCACCCCTTCTCTCCTACCACTGAGAGCCAGCCCTCCCCCAGTCTGAAGGTTGGGGGTGAAGGACCTGCACCCCATCTCCCTTCAACCTGCAGAGCCTGGTCCCGGTGTACCAGGCACACTTACTGACCATCAGGGCGCTGTGCTGACCGCCCTATGGTCCTGGTCAAGAACACATCCCCTCTTCCCCTTCCTCCTACAATTGGCAAGACATGGAGATGGGACAACTAGACACTCCCTCCAGCTTCCCAGCCACTGTAGTGTCTCAGCCTGAGCTCTCCGGGCAGTCATGGCTCCTCCTAAGTAATAACAATGCTGGCACTATGGAGTGCTTACTATGGGCTCAGTCATTCTATACTGCAACCCCCACATCACCCCTGTGAGGTAGGTATACTGTTAGGCCCATTTTACAGATAAGGAGACTGATGCTTAGACAGGTTAAGTGACTTGGTCAAGATCCCAGCTAACCAGTATCAAAGACAGGATTTGTGCAACCCAGAGCCTGCATTCTTAACCGCTCCTAATCAGGCTGCCTGCTGGGGCTTCTGATTCCTCCACTTTCTCTCTCGTGGACAGCCTGTTTTAAGGACCTACATGTCTTTTAATATTTACAAGGGCTCTATCCCCCTTGTAATTTTCTAGAAAGCAGAGAGGAAATAAAATAATCCCGGCATAATGAAGAATTGGAATTGTCTTACTCTGAGGTCCCCTTATCCCAGCCCATCCTCCCCCGCAAGATGACCCTGACTTTGGCCTCAGGTGATGATCTGTCAAGCCCAGCAGGCATTTTCAGGACAATGGCCAGAGAGATACTGTACCAAGAGTCAGTGTTCAGCACAGGGCTGGTACCCAGTGAGCACTTAAAAAGTACTATAAGTGCTTGTTGACTTGAACTGATGTTCAGAATCATGGACCACACTGACACAGTTTGGTTTTATGGACACACCTCCTGTGCTTGTCCATTGCAGGTAGGATGGGGCCAGGGAGTCAGGTGACACTCCTCTACTTCCTCCTCACCATTCCTGTGATACTCCCTCAATTTGACTGGGAGGCCAGGGCAAATCCTCAAGGTGTGGCCTCCTTTCCTGTAGGGCAGATAGGTACTGGGCCAGGCACCAGTATTATTCCACCCAACACTTGTTATGTGACCTGGGGCCAGCTCTTGAACTTCGCTGAACCTCAGTTTCCTTATCTGTAAGATGGGGAGAAAAACCTGTCTCAGCATGTTGCCATGAGGATGAAAACAGGACAATGAAGGTCCAGGCTGTTGTGGGGAACCAAGACATCCACGTGGCCTCCTTCTTGGGACTCCTCCTTCAGAATTACTGGTCCTGCCTATGGTTAAGGACTTCCTGGTGTCCACCTGTCCCTGCCCATCCCCGCTTCCAGGCGCTGCTCTCACCTTAGGATGAGCATGAAGGAGGGAGTGTGTGTGACACTGGCCAGTGCCGCACTCGCACTGATCAGGAGCACGAAGGGCAGCACCAGGTAGCCGCAGGCTGAGTCACAGGAGCCTGCTGTCACAGAGCCGCCCCCCACCACACAGCTGCAGTTGGTGTAAAAAACCTGGGGGCAGAAGGGAGGAGAGAAGAGCCTTCAGGAGCTTCCAAAGGCAAGCAAGCTGCCCCCAGGCCTGAGGTCCAGGAAGGCTCATGAAGGCCCAGGGGAACATAGCTGGCTGGGCCAGAGCCGGCTAGAGTGTAGGACTTCTGACCTCTTGGCCATGTTAGGACAAGCTGGGGAAGCCAGGCGGGTACTTGTTCACAGGCTGTCTGCACACCAGTTGGGCTGAGCCTGAGCTGAGACCGTGGGGAGACAGGGAAGTGGAAAAAGACCCAGAAAAGCATCACCCCCCCAAACACACACACATCCAGGGGTGGATTATCCAGTAGGCAAGGTAAGCACGGTTCTTACGTTGCTTACCAGATCATCCGTAGTGAACAATTTCACATTTTTCCACCACATCAAAGATTCTGCTTCTAGATATGGCTGGCATCTGTCTCTCTCCCAACCCCATAGCACCTTCCTACACAATCAAAGCCTCTTTTCAAATTTACAATCCCTGACAGGGACAGATTACACAGTAAGCACAGGTAAGACCATACTTACTAATCTGTAAAGTAAGGAAGCACAAGTAAGCCCGTGCTTACCTTGCTTACTGGGTAATCCGCTCCTGTACCCACCCACACACACACCACATAACTCACACCTGTGTACACACCGCACACATACCATACCCCTTACACACACACACCATACCACCCACATACCACACCGCTTATACACGTACTATACACACACACACCACATAACTCACACCCTTGCACACATTACACACATACCCTACCCCTTACACACACACACCATACCACCCACACACCACTTATACACATATTACACACATATACACACATACCACATAATTCACACGCACCACATACCAATAAGTCACGCACACACACACGCACAAGTTCCTGACTACCTGCGTAAGGAATCAAAGCAACAAAGAGTGCTTTTGGGGAAAGAGCTCAGAGGTTTTCCACCTCAGTTTCCTTCCTTCCCACTTGACTGAGGCTTCTAGGGCACTGGGTCCTGGAGAAGAATCTCAAGGGAAGATAAAAGCACAGAATGGAGAGATCCAGACAACACTATGGGAGCCCCAGGACACCGGGTGTTGGAAACAGATGAATAGATATACAAAATGTGGTCTATCCATATAATGGAATATTACTCAGCCATAAGAGAAATGAAGTTCTGATGTTTGCTATGACATGGAAGAACCTTGAAAACATTATACTGAGTGAAATAGTTAGACACAAAAGACAAATATTATATGGTCCTACTTACATGAAATAACTAGAATAGGCAAATGCATAGAGGCAAAAAGTAGATTGGTGATTACCGGGGCCTGGAGGGAGGAGGAGGGAATGGGGATTTATTGCTTAAGGGGTACTGACTTTGTTTGGGGTGATGAAAACTTTGGAAATAGTGGTAATGGTTACACATTACATGGTGAATGCAACAAATGTCTCTAAATTATACACATAAAATTAGTTAAAATGGCAGAATTTTTGTTGTATGTATTTTACTATAATAAAATTTTTTAAAAGTGGTCTGGATGAAGAGTACCTTCAGGCTTCTGATGGGAGCAAAGCTGACCCCAAAAGTCTGGGCCTTTCTTCGCTGTGGATCAGAGCTTCTCATCCAGTGTCCCAGCAATCCTTAGCCTCGGCTGGGAGACAGGTGTGTGGAGAGTGATCTCAGCACTCCTGGTGGCCTGGCTGGCCTGGGGCAGCTGGAGCCCTCAGGGCCTCTCACCTCCAGCCCTAGAAGCTCAGCTACTTCCCAGTGTGGAAACAGCTGATATGGATGCGAGAGAGACTTGGAAGGATTTTAAGCTGGGAGAGAAGAGACCTGATATTCCAAAGCCTTCTCAGGCTGCTGCATGGAGCATGGACCGGATGGAGAGGTTTGGGGCAGGGGCCCATTTAGGAGTGAGGGAGTGAATGGAGAGATGTGGAACTAGAGAAAGGTAGGCAAGAGAGAGAGAAACAACGTCTAGGATTAAGGCTTGGGTAACTGGGTGCTCTTCTTCCCAATGCCTGGTCAAGCTGACATGTGTGATGAGGCTGTGCTCCACAGGTGACCTCCTGAATACACACCATTTTACACTGCAGGAAAAGTGGCCTTTGGGCCTTCACCTATGGGCCAAGCAACCCACTGGGCTGAAGATAAATGGAGGGACAGGTAAGGGGAGAAATGGGCCAAGGCAAAGTTAGTGGAAGAGAGATGTCCTGCCCCTGTTCCTTCTCTAACCTTTATTTGAATTCACGTAATTCCATGGCAGGAAATTCGTCTTATGGATGACTTCAATCTCTCCAGCTGCTTCTGATTCTCAGTTTCCCAGGGATTCCGCCCCACCCCTGGGCCCTAGATCCCGTCATCTGCCCACCTTTCCCCTGGCCATTCACTCATTCATAGAACTTTACTGAGCACTGCTGTGCTGGACACTGGTCCGACCATCCCTGGACTAAGGAGCTCAGTCAGCCTGAGGAGCAGGCGCGCCAAGAGGCAATTCCAGCCCAGTGTGACGGTTCCTGAGTGCTGACCAGGTCTCAGCTACACCCCTCGAAATACTGTACTGTCATGGTTTGAATTATGTCCCCCAAAAAATATGTATGTCAATTTGGCTAGGCCAAGATTCCCAGAATTGTGTGGTTGGCCTCCATTTTGTGATTGTAATTTTATGTTAAAGAGGATTAGAGTGGGATTGTAACACCACCTTTACCCAGGTCACATCCCTGATCCAATGTAAAGGAAATTTCCCTGGGGTGTGGCCTGCACCACCTTTTATCTTTCAAGAGATAAAAGGAAAGGGAAGCAAGCAGAGAGTTGGGGACCTCATACCATCAAGAAAGCAGTGCCAGGAGCCCAGCGCATCCTTTGGACCAGTGTCCCTGCACAGAGAAGCTCCTAGTCTGGGGGAACACCGAAGAGAAGAAGGCCGACAGAGAGAAAAAGCCTTCCCCTGGAGCTGACGCCCTGAATTTGGACTTTTAGCCTACTTTAACTGTGAGGAAATAAACTTCTCTTCGTTAAAACCATCCACTTGTGGTATTTCTGTTATAGCAGCACTAGATGACTAAGACATATACCTAAACACAAACCTCTGAGGATGCTCCAAAGAAGGGGCTGGACTGGGAGGCTAGAGCCCCAGGTTCTAGTCCTGCTCTGGCATTGAGACCCTGGGCAATTCCCTGTCCTTTTCTGGGACTCCATTTCCTCATCTACACAATGGGCATAGTAGGAGTATCAATGAGTGCTTAATATTTTCCAGGCACTGTGCTAAGTGCAGAGTCCTTGGGTGTTGTAAATGGTTAATGCGTTTGACTGCTAACTGAAAGGTTGGAGATTTGAGTCCATCCAAAGGTGCCTCAGAAGAAAGGCCTGGCAATCTACTTCCAAAAATCAGCCATTGAAAACTCTATGGAGCATAGCGCGTAGCTCTACTCTCCAACACACATGGGGCCACTATGAGTTGGAGTCGACTCCATGGCAACTGGTTACTAGTGATGCAAAGTGCTTTCCGTGAATTATGTCATGTGACTCATCAGTTACTATTTAGTGAATTAATTCAGGTAATGCATTTAGCCTAGTATGAAAAAACCAAACCCGTTGCCATCGAATCGATTCCAACTCATAGCCACCCTAGAGGACAGAGTAGAACTGCCGCATAGGGTTTCCAAGGAGGGCCTGGTGGATTCGAACTGCCCACATTTTGGTTAGCAGCTGAACTCTTAACCACTACACCACCAGGGTTTCCTGGCATATAGTAGCACTCAATAATATTGTCCCCTCTATTTCACAGACTAGAAAACTGAGGCATAGGAGTTAGATAATTTGCCCAAGGTAACACAGCCAGTTAGAGGCAAGACAGGGATTTGTACCAGGTGGCTGGCCTCAGAGCTCAGGGATCCACATCCACAGGAGAACACAGCCTTCTTCAGGAACCTGCCCCACCTGTCAGGGCCTGGGAGCCTCTGGAGGGGCTCTTGGGGAGATCAAACCAGTCAGGACGGTGAGTGCTAGCGGGCCTGAGAGGCTGGGATTGCGATCATTCCAAATGCAAACAATTTACACAGCCCGGGTAGTGTGTGCCTTCTGAAGGACTGTCAACTGGGCAGTTTACTCTGGCCAGCTGGCAGGGCCCCATTCTGTCCCTGAAGAAATCCTCAGGGTTAGATGCAGATGCCCTGAACAACAGCAGGGATTCTGCCTGATGGAGGTGGGGTGGAGTTCTAGAGGGACATGTCATAACAACCAGCCTGACACTGCCGTTCCCACATGCCTTACTACAGCCTGGGGGTGGGGGGTGCCTGAGGAAGGTGGGTATTGTCCTCATTTGAGGAGGAAGGGGAGGGGAAGCCAGCTGGTTTTGGTGGCCTTCGCTCACGTTCACAGAGAACTCACCACTGATTACACTGCCCTCATTTTCCCACTGGGGGCTCCCTGATGGCAGGCTCCATGGCTCTGGGTCCTCCACCCCAGCCCGGGGCCTGGCACAGAGGAGGAGCTTAGCAAAGTTTTGTTGACAGACTAACTGACTGAATGAATGAATGAATGGGCTTATGGTGCCAGCCTCTTCACTGGTCTCCTTCCCTCCTATCCTGGGCTCTGTTCACCTTTCTCCACACTATGGCCTCCAGCATGATTGAACACATAACCAATCTTATCGCTCCCTTGCTCAAAAACCATCCATGGCTCCCCATTGTTCTCAGGATAACGTCTCCACTCTTGGCCTGGCACTCAAGGCCCTTCTTTGTCTAGGCCTTGCTTTCCTTCTCTGAACTCTTATGCTTCTGTCCCAACAAATTCTTTGCAGTTTCTTGAAACTCCGTATTTTTTTTTGTGTCTCCAGATCTTTGCTTATGCTTTTCTCCCTGCTTGGGGATCCCTCTCTTCCCAAGTCAATTGCAGTTCAAATGCCACCTCCCCATGAAGTCTTTTGGCATGCTCCCAGGTGGGACATATCTGCTTGCTTCCACACTTGTGTATACTTGTAGGGATCTATTAGCCTCCTTGGAGTTCCCATGAGTGATTTCCTTTTGTGTCTCACCTGCAGCTGGGGGTCGGGTCTGGTTCACATCTGTACCCTGGCACATGACTGGGCCTGTGCCAGCAACGAAAGCTTATAGAGAGAATGATTTCCTACCTCTGCCAACAGAAGGAAGAGACAGACAAACAGCACAAGAGAAGAGAAAGACAGAGTGAGAACGCTCAGAGGTGGAGGATGTGACAGGCTCAGAGACGCAGGGAAAGGCAGAGGCCCTGAGAGGCTGAGGGAGCAGCCAGAGGCCTGACTCACTGTGCTTTTGTCCAAAGCCTCCTGGATCACCTGGCTAGTACAGCCTGCGTGGCAGGGTGTGATGTACTCCACACGGGTGCTGGGGTCGCAAACAGGGTTAAAGTTGTCCGATGGGCAGGAGCAGGGCTCTGAGCAGCCTGGAAACAGCCCAGGCTCAGGCTGGGCGCTGGTGGGAGAGAAGGCCATCAGGGTTGGCCTAGCTCTTCTGCCCTCAGACCAGGAGCCAGGGCCACCTCAGCCCTACAGCCCAGCTCCCCATCCCTAAGAGCAATGGCCAGAGCCTTCAGCTCCACACAGTTTTTTCCCTGTCATGGCTGCCCCATCACAGTGTGGTGTCTAAGTGCCTTGAACCAAGGTGTGTGGGTGGGGAGATGGGCTGGAAGCTGATGGGAGAAATGGGAGTATATTGGAACAGAGTCCTCTGATACCCTTTCCAGCCTCAAGATTCTGCAAGTCTTTAAGCTTCTTCTGAAGAAATCGCTGCTTCTCAATGGCCCTACTACGCACAAAAAAGTCCTCAGAATTTAGTCTCAGCTGAAAAGTGCCTTTCTCTCAATGAGCTGGATTGCTTCTTTTTCTCAGAAAACTAGAGCTGAGTGTGGGACCAGTCTGGAGGCCTGACTAGCTATGCGATGTTCGACCTGCTCTTGCCTTTCTCTGGTCTCAGTCTTTCTGTCTGTCAGCTCAGCTGAGTCACCCTCCCCATCCTGCAGTCTCCTGACATCATGGCCCACTTCTGATGCCCTGTCCACTGAGCCCAGGACCCCCCTTAGTCCCACCTGCCTCCCTCCTGAGGATCTGCCCCCTGACTCCAGGAGTTCCCTGCTGCCATTTGCTGTTTGTTCGTGCCAGGGCAAGGTAGGATAGAGGGGGCAGTCACCTGAGCCGGAGACGGCAAGTCTCCCTGAGGGGGCAGGGAGGTGGCCCCTAAGACTCAGAGTCTGACCTGGCTTCACAGCTAGGAGGGAGCACAGCAAGCCTTCCAGGGAAGCAGAGATGCAGAGAGGTGGATGCCTCGCTCAGGGGGGCACAAGGAGCCAGTGGCCAAGCTGCAGAGGAGCCACTGGGGGAAGGGCTGGAGGTCTCCTGGGCTTGAGGGGGAGGGTGTGGGGCCGAGGCCCAGGCAAAGGGCTGAGTCTGGCAAGATGAGTGAGATCTCAATTCTGTGGAAGCTGAGCAGCGTGGGCCGGGAAGGCTGGGGGTGGGACTGTCATTGAGATGGCCTGTAGTTGGAGATGGACAGGTGAGGCATGGAGGCAAAAGTGAGCTCCTCTCCTTCCCTATGATGGAGAAGAGGAGCATTAGCCAACCCAGTCTTCTCCTCTTCCCCTGCCAGCCAACACCCGTGTGCCTGGCACTGCCTCAATGCATCTCACACGGGACGGGGAGCAGGCTGGAGCTGTCTGAGCTGAAGACCTATCAGGAGGCCACGCCAGGTGACTCTGCCCAGGGGAGGCATTTCCCGGAGCAGCCTCTGCCAGCAGCTGGAAGGCTGAGCAGGGAGAGCCTCCTCTCCCCCAGCCCCTCCTCCCTCATTGACCACTTGGAGCTGGTTGCTCCTACAGAGGGACCCCTGGCTCTGGGCTCTGCCCCTCCTACCTGGGCAGATGACTTAACCTCTCTGAGCCTCACTATTCTCATCTGTAAAATGGGGATGACAATAGTCCCCTTCTCACAGAGACTGTGAGGGTTCAATGAGAGTATGTGAAGCACTGGGCATGGCATCGGGCATGTGGGAGACCCTTGGTTCTTGGCAGCCGTCACTTGTTGTGCCGGAGAATGAGAAACTCTCCCCATTTGGCTCTGTTGGTCCAAAAAGGCTTCTTGGATGAATTAGAACCCAGGGCAAGAATATAAATCAGAACACAGGTGAGATGGTGCCAGAGTCCAGGAGTGAGAGAGAAGAGAGATGGTGCACATGGGGTAGACTGACTTCTCTCCATTTACTTCTCACTCTAAGAAGACTTCTCAGGCCGGGACTTCCTGAGGGCATGACCCAGGCCCTCCCTGCAGTGCCTGCAACAGGGCTCTGCACAATGAAGGCCCCGCTCTAGACAACGGAGTTGCCTCACTATTTGGAAAAAGGAGAAGGGACAGGGAAAAAAGGAAGAAAAGGAAAGAAGGAGACGTGGGAGAGGTTGGTAAGGGTGGGACCTGGGACACAAACAGGGAGGGCTGGGTGTTTCTAGGTCAAGATCCCGGGTCCCACACAGCCACGCAGAAGGAGTCCCAGGTGCCAAAAGCTGACACCTGCATGGAAGGAAGAGATGCCAAGCGAGAGATGGAGACAGAGAAAGCTGGGGAATTCTGGCTGGGTGTTGGGCCAATCTAAGCCTGGAGCAGTTCCCAGGAAAAATGAAATCATTCTGGAGAAGAGAAAGGAAAGCAACTTCCAACATCCTCTGCCAAGCTGAGAGGGTGTACGTGTGCGTGTGGGACCCGGGGACGGGGAGGGGTGTGCAGTGAATAGGAGAAAGTGAGGCATCAGGGGCCCCCTTCCTGGAAGATGGAAGCAGGTGCCGCCCCAAAGACTTGAGAAAGAATTCTGGGATTTTAGGGTCATGGAACAACAGAATTTTAGTTCCTGGACTCTAAGAACCAAGAATCTCTGAGGTCTCCAGTCTAACCCCTTCTCACTGCCTATGTCCCCTCTGCAGCCACCCTAGCAGGGGCCACTCCATTCCTGCTAACCCCACCTCCCACCGTCACCCTCAGGGATGGAGACCCTCCCTCTCCTGGGCAGGCCTTTTCTCTGCCTGGGAGCAAAATTACTTCTAAGGGTGAGCTGAGTCCTGCCTGCCATGATGCCCCCGCCCCCCTCCTCCACTGTTCCCACAGAGCCCCACCATTCTGCAGATCCCTCATCACAGGCGGGTATGCCCTGTCTCAGCCTCCACCCCCTCCCCTGGCCCGAACTTTCCTGCCCTGGTCGTTCCATCCCTGCCCCTTTTAATGGTGCATGGCCCCTTCACCAGAGCCTTCATGAAAGATGGCCCCACCTCTTGCAACTGAGCCAGGCAAGTGACTAATAGAGGGCTTTTAGGCAGAGTGGAGAGAACACAGTGCTACGGTGAGGGGTGAGACTTGTGTTAGATGGGTGCCCCACTGACTTGGCCTGTCTGGGGTCACGCCTCTTCCCTGTCCCAACCCCTGCCCCCATGCTTACACTCACATGCTCACTCACGCACTCACCCAGGCTGGGGGGTGATGTCTGCAATCTGATGGGTGGGGCAGCCGATGAAGAAGAGCGGCAGGCTGAAAAGTAGGCCTAACAGCGTCCCCAGCAGGCAGAGGGCAACGCAGCGCTTTGGGCCCAGGTGGAGGCCCTTGACGAGGACACCTCCCACCACGATGCCCACGATGGCCGAAGGGATGGTGAGGCAGCCAATGAGCAGATTGGCGTAGGAGGCGGTGATGGAAAACTGGCGCTCCAGAAACTTAGGCAGGAAGGTAGCCATGCCTGCCACCATGGATGACATGCACACCTGGGACAAGGCCACCAGCAGGAAGATGGGGTGGCGCAGGGTCCGCAGCAGCACCCTGGGGAAAACTGTTGGAGTGAGTGGGGAGAAGGTTAGAGTGGGCAGACGGGGCAGCAGGCCAGCCATGCCATGCATTTCTGTCCCATCCTACCCTGTTTGTTTAAGTCAGTTTCTCCTCAAATTAGTTCTACACTCCATTCCAGTCCTTTACGTTTCATTCTGTTCCATTCCTTTTCATCCCTTCTTATTCCATTCCACTTAATTCTACTCCATTCATTTTGATTCCATTATATTTGACTTCATTTAATTTCATTCTATTCCGTTTTTGAAATCCTGTTTCTTATCATTCCACTCCCTTGAATTAGATTGCATTGTATTCAATTCTAAGGCGTCCTGGCGGTGCAGTGGTTAAGCACTCAGCTGCTAACCAAAAGGTCAGTGGTTCAAACCCAGCAGCAGCTCTGCGGTAGGAGAAAGATGTAGCAGTCTGCTCCCATAAAGATTACAGCCTTGGAAACCCTATGGGGCAGTTCTACTCTGTCCTATAGGGTTACTATGAGTTGAATTGACTCAATGGCAGTGGGTGGGTATTCAATTCTTTCCTTTCCATTCAATTTTAACCCATCTCATAGAATTCTATTCCATTCCATAGAATTCTATTCCATCCCATACAATTCTACTCCATGCCACCTATTTGATTCTATTTCATTCATCCTGCCCCGTCTCATTTCAGTTTTTTCATTTCACTTATTCACACCACTTTGTTCCCACTCAGCCCATTCCATTCTGATCTGCTATAGCTCTTTCCAAGTCAACCCAAGCCTTTTTCTTCTTCTCTGTTCCCAGCACAGGACCAGACATAGAGTTGGATCATTTTGTTGTGCCCTTCCTTCCACTTCCTCCCTGCTCCTCCGGGCACTCCCACCTGAGTTAGGTCCCTATCCCTGGCTGTGGGCGGTGCCCCCAGTGCCCCTGGTCTATCAGTTTCCATCCCCAAGCCTTTCAAGGTCAGGCTCAATCTTCCTTTCTCCAGAATGTTTTCTCAAACTCCTGCCTGCCTTGCCCACTCAGCCCTCAAGGAGACAATGCCCCCTTGCTGGGTAACTGTCCCCTGGTTGCAGCCTGCCTCCTCCATCCCAGACTGTGGGACATGCCAGGTTTTGTATGTGGGGGTCCTTGGGTGAGTGCACCAGGTGCAATGAGCCCCTTTTCCCTCCGCTCAGTTTGCTCGGGCTAAGCTTCTGCCTGGACCTCAGCTGTGAGCCGAGGGCTGTGAGCTGGACAAGTGCCCTCATTCTTCACATTCCTAACACACATACCCTAGTGGCTAGTGTGTGCCAGGCCCTTGACTGGGTACCCTGTCATAGGGCTGAGTCCCTCTTGGTCCTATCCCTCAAAGGGTTCATATGTTAATTGTAGAGACACCCAAATTATAACACAAGGGGATAAAGGCCATGACTGTAAACTGCAGTCACTCCCCTACTCAAACCCCTCCCATGACTTCCATCCCTCACGTGACCAAGGTCAGCCTCCTTGGCCTGCTGCCTCATTCTGCAGCCTTACCTGCAGGCCCCTCCCCTGTACTCAGGACCCTCCTGAGTTCCTTGAATGCCCCAGGCCTTCCGGTCAAAGGCCTCTGTACATGCTATTCCCTCTGCCTAATTCACTTCCCTGCCTGCCTTCCTCTACCTTTGACTAGTAAATTCCTGCTAATCCTTCGGACTTCAGCTTAAATATCAGTTCCTGAGGAAGCCTTCGCTGGTGCCAGTTTGGGTTCTGGACCCTCAGGAATGGGATGATCTAGGGAGGTGGAGATGGGGTGGGGTGGCGGGGGCAGTGGGTGGTGTGGGAGAGTCCCAGAAGGGGGCAGGAACAGAAGTGGCTATCCTGGCACTGATGACCTCCCCAACCCTCTGCTAGCTCCTAAAACGAGGCCTCGTTCACAGGTTGCCCACACTGCAAGTCTGTTGAACTGAAGGGTACTCAGCATTGGGTAAGTCCCTTCCCCTTTGAATTTCAGTGTGCTTATTGGTAGGAGCAGCCAAGGTGATGTCTAGGAGCGCTTTCCGTCTGACATGTGCTCCACTAACAGCAAGAGGGAGAGGTTTGTTCTGCCTGCAGTAGGCAGGACTGAAGTTAGACGCCAGGTGTGAGGGAGAGGAGGAAAGGCGTCTTTAAGGAGGAGTCAGAGGAGGAAACCACTGGCTGGACTGGCTGCTGGGGAGAGATGGTCATGAGGGTCCTCTGAGCCCGGGGGTAGGGGAAAGGGGGTCCCTCTGTTCCTGCAGCAGCAAGACCAGGGCCTCTGTTACAGGAGAAGATTTATGTCTGTCTGTCCACAGCACATGGCCAAGCCAGCTGATTCCCCAGCCCCCTGGGCCAGAACAGGAGCTGTTTTCCTTGGGAGCCAGAAAATAAAGACAAACAGACCAGATGGGAGGTGGTGGCTGGGAGAGTAGAATTCCCCTCTTGCTTCCCAGGCCTGCCTCTGGTCCCCAGTCCCTTGCCACACAGAAGTGCATTCAGCCAGCATTTGGAGTGGGGAGCTGTTATGCCTGGGCCTCACTCCAGATGCTGCTCCAGCTTCCTTCCCTCCATTATCTACCCTGGTCAGGGCATCTGATACCCTGTGAGGGCCATGGAGTTTTAATCTGGGTTTAGCTCAAATTGTACAGGTGCCCTCGTTTACAGGTGAGGTCCAGAGAAGGGCAGGGACTGGCCCAAGGTCATCCAGAGGCTGGGATAGGACCAGGATTTGCCCCTGCATTCCCTGACTCCTAGGACAGGGGCTGGAGTCCTGGTGGCTCAGTGGCTTAAGAGCTTGGCTGCTAACCAAATGCTGGCAGTTCAAATCCACCAGCTACTCTTTGGAAACCCTGTCGGGCAGTTCTACTCTATGGGTCTGACTTCTGGCTCTGCTATGGACTAATTCTGAGATCTGCGCAGTGGCTATGAGTTGCAATCGACTCGATGACACTGGGTTTGGTTTTTGGTTTTTTTATTACAGGCACCATTCCTCCTTCTATCTCCCACAACCGATTCCTATGCCTCTCTGGCTGCCTGACTCCAGAGGGCTCTATCTTGCTAATTGTTTCTGTCGTTCAGCCAATCTCCTCTACTAATCACTGCAGAGTGCTTTGTACCTATCCTCCATCTCTCCTCAGCATCCACAGCTGTCTCTAGAACAGATGGAAAATTCCTGGAGGGCAGGGGCTATGCCTTTCACTTAGAGATACCTGAAGGGGAACTCCAGGAGCCACCTCCAGCTCAGAGGCAGGTCTTCCCCATTAGACAGGAGTCTCCCTTAGCTCTATACAATGCCTCCCCCATCAGATAGGCCAGGTTCTCCCCCAGCTCAGGGACTATGTCTCCCCCATCAGACAATGACCTCCCCCAGCATAGAGGCCAGGTATCCTCCATCAGACAAAGCTGGTTCTCCCTCCATTCAGAGATTATATATCCTCCATTAGATAGGGATCTCCCCCAAATCAGACACTCTGTCTCCCCCATCAGACAGTGGCCTACCCTAGGTCAGGGACATTGTCTTCCCCAAGAGTCTAGGGGTCCTCCAGATGAAGAACCATGGCTCTTCCTCTCTCTGCCTCCCCGCACCCAGGTGGTCAAGGCCAGGCCCCAGGGTCAGACTGGTTCCTCTGGAGCTCAGCAGAAGCCCAAAACCAGGTAGGCTGACTGGCCACAGGGCCTGTGGCCAGCCCTGCTTCAGTCTTCCCCAGGCTCACGTATAAGCTGAAATCATCAGAGACAATCTGGCCCAGGACACATGCTCCAGGATCTAATTTCAGGAACTGGCCCCAGCCTCCCTCTGGGCAGAAGCCAAAATCAAAACCAAAACCAAACTCATTGCTGTTGAGTCGATTCTGACTCACAGCGACCTTATAGGACAGAGTAGAACTGCCCCATAGGGTTTCCAAGGCTGTAATCTTTATGGAAGCAGACTGTCACATCTTTCTCCTGCCGCAGAGCTGCTGCTGGGTTTGAACCTCTGACCTTTCGGTTAGTAGCCGAGCATTTAACCATCACGCCGTAAGGGCTCAAGCAGTGATTAATAAGCTCTTCCATGGTACAACGTGCCAGCGCCTTCCAGCAGCTGGGGGGGACCTGAGGTCAGGAAGTCCAAGTCCTTGCCTCTAGACTTAGCCCCATGAAATCTAGACCCTTCCTTTCTCTGGAAAGCTGGAGAACTAGAGGTTAGATTACTGGTATCTCAACACCAAGTCTTAGGAAGCTCTTCCCAAGAATTGGGCCTAATTCCTTCCTGTGGTGGAAGTCGTTAGTGAGGGGTTGAGCAAACTCTGTGGTTATCACTCTCCTAAACCACAGGCAGCTCAATTTACTGTCCTGGGACATTGTCAGAATAACAGCAGTAGGGTAGGAGTGGTAATTGAAGTAGTAATTGTACCTGATACAAGCACAGTTTTTTATAGTATACAAAGGACTTTCCATTCATCATCCCATTTGATTCTTACAACAGTCCTTGAGAGAGACAGAGTAAGAATTAGTAACCCAATCACTACCCAATACCATCAGTACAATTTGAATCTCACAATGGCCATTTTTGTCACTATCATTATCTTTCAGATGAGGAAACTCAGTTTAGAGAAGGAAAGTAACTTCTACAAGATTTACATTGGTCAGTGTTAGGGGCAGGATTCAAATCCAGGTCTTCTGACTTGCCATCCAGTGCTCTACAAGAGCCTGTACACAGCAGGCACTCAATCAATGTTTATGGGATTGAGATCTTTAGAAAAGATGGCCCAATCACAACATATACCTTGGTTACTGATTGGTTCAGTTCATACTTTCAGAATCAGAGATGCATGGACCTTAGATCATTGAGTTCATGCCGCACTGTACAGATGGGGAAACTGAAACCCAAAAAGTAGCAATGACTCAGGATAAAAACTCAGGTCTTTGGACTTCAGCCCAGAGCTCCCTCCATCCATGCCACAGCCTGGGAATTTGGCAAATATTATCCGAAGACCTCCTATTTGCAGGGTCAGTGGAGAGTGGGACAAAAAAAGGGGTCACAGGTGAGCCAGCCCAGGCTTTGACCTCTAGGAGCTCACTGCAGACAAGCACATGGCACAGATCTGAGCTGAAACAGAGGCCCTGAGGGTTCTGAGGACCCAGAGGACGGAGAGCGGCAGCCTTTTGGCTGGAGAGCCAGGAATGCTGGAGGAAGGAGTAGTCCATGAGCATGACCTAGAGGGGCAGGGAAGATTCTGATAGGTAGCAACAAAAAAATGATGTTCCAGACAGAAGGAATTGTATGAGCAAAGACTCGTAAGGAATGTACAGGTGCTAATGAAGGTCCTGTAGATGTGGAGGATGAATCAAGAAAGGGAGGAAGGGGCTGGATCCTGTCAGGCATTGAGTGCTGCTCTAGTTCTGCCTCCCCATAGCCTGGCCTGGAGCTCACTTACCTTTGATGAACTGGATCACAGTCAGGTCTGGTGCACACTGGGCTAGGCCATTTTGCTTCCCTGGGTATTCTCCAGGGCTTTGCTCAGAGGAGGAGCCCTCACCCTGGAGAGACACATAACCAAGGGCAGTCACATGGTTGCCAGAGATCCTGCTCAGAGACGGCTATGGGCTGGGGCAGGGGACTCTAGGAGGGGAGAGATTGGGGCTTCTGGCTCTTGTCAGGAGCAATGGGGACCAGCAGTGTTCCATTTGTTCTTGGCACTATAGGCTCTTGACAAGTGTTTTTGTTTTTTTTAAAGAATTAATGAAATTCTAGTGGTTAAATTTTGTCCTCACCATCACCAGTGTCCACAGCCAATTGTCAGCACCATCATTAACATCGTAATGATCACCAACATCACTTATAAAATTACCACCATAACCACTAACATCATTATCACAATTCCCACCACCTTAAATATCTCCCCATTAACATCACTAACATCATCATCAATATCATTATCAGTATAATTTGAATACCACAACAGCCAATATTGTCATTACCATTATCATCATCTCTGTCATGGTTACCACCACCAGGACTATCACCAACACCATCATTATCATCATCACCTGAACCTTCAGAATCACTAACATCATGATTATCAGCATCATCAGTATCACTATCTCTAACATCATCATCCCTGTTATTGTTTCCATAAACATTGGTGTCACCAATCTCATCTCTATCACCACCAGTGTCACAAAAAATAACCACCATCAACTCACCAATTCCATCATCATCACCGCCACTGTCACCAACTATGTCTCCATTACCAATATCATTATCAATGTCACTGTTACCATTACTGTCAGTGTCATCTATTCCATTACCACCATCACCATCAGTGTCACTGTCACCATCATCACCAACATCCTTACCACTGTCACTGTCTCCATCACCACTACCACCACCATCAACATCATCAACATGGTTATTACCACACCTCTATTTTCAGTTATTACATCACCTATGACTTGTCACCTTGAGGGTAACCATGAATAGGAGAATCCAGTGATAGAAGTTGACAAGAAGTCGAGGTGGTTTGAGCCTTCAGGCTCATTCAGTTCTATCCTGTCTGCTATGACAGGAGGGGAACTGGGTAAAGGGAGCCAAGAGACAACAGTCTTCTCTCTTCCCCTTGGATGACTAAGGACACACCCAGAGTAAGTGCTCAGCTCTGGGACCCACACTGTAAGGAAGCAATAGACAACATGGAGGGCATCCCTATACCTGGCTGAGGATGTCCCACGCGCAACCCCTGGAGGAGAGGTCTTTTATCCTAGGCAAGAGAAGACTGGGGGTGCAGGGGAACACAGTCACAGACTTCTGATTGTCAGAAAGGAGGGAGGAAATGATGATAAATAATGGTTAATGCTTATTAAGCACAAACTACATGCTGGGAACTGTTGTAAGAATTTCAATTAATTAATTCATTGAAACCTCACAAGAACCTTCTGAAGTAGGTGCCATTAGAATCCCTATTTTTCAGATGATAAAACTGAGGCACAGAGAAATGAAGTAACTTGCCCCAGGTCACACAACTAGTAAGTGGTCCAGATAAGATGTGAACCCAGATAGCTTGACTTCAGAGCCTGTGTACAAGGGAAGGAGAGAACCCAGTGTCCAAGGTAGTCTACCTGCATTGTCTCTAACAAAAAAAACATGTTGAGGCAGGTACTACTATGTGCACATTTTTTTAGATGAGAAAACTAAGTCTTGGAGAAATTGCTACTTGCACTGGGTCATTCGTATAAGTGATCAAGTGGGTTCTGGTTTTACTCCATTTTTCTATGTAGGTCCAGATCAGAATTAGGAGCAACAAGTTCCAGGGAGAGACTTAAGCCCTATGTAAAGGGCAGTTTGGAAAAGGCTTCCCTGGGAGGAAGTGAGTTCCCCGTAACTAAGAGTGTGCAGAGCCCTGGTGACGTAGTGGTTAAGCACTTGGCTGCTAACTGAAAGGCTGGCGGTTGGAACCCACCAGCCATTCCATGGTAGAAAGATGTGACAGCTTGCTTCCTTAAAGATTACAGCCTCGCAAACCACATGGGACAGTTCTACTCTATCCTATAGAGTCCGTATGAGTCGGAATCGCCACGACAGCAAGCAGAGAACAGTTCCTCCCTGGCCAAGACTGCTGTGTGGCATAGGGGAGGACTGGCAAGGCTGGAAAGCCCATTTGGGATTCTCTGTTAAGTCCCTATGGGCCTCACCCTCTGGTCTGATACCTTAGGGAGCTTAGTGGGGCAAATGCTGGATTTTCCCACAGTTCAGAACCTCCATACCTGCCCCCGCCCTGGGGGTGTTCTGGGGCTTGGTTCCAAGCTTTCTCCACCTGATTCCCTCCCTCGCTCAAGTCTGGCCTTATGCAGAAAGATAATTCATTCAAATATTTATGTGCCTGTATTTGTTTCTCTTGAGGTTTTCCCTTTCTCCTCTCTTCTTTCATTCCAGCAGATGGCTGACTCTGAGTTTTCTAGCCTCAGGGAGGTTCATGGCAGGGTAGATAGCAGTAATCAGCTGTAAGATGTTCCTTCTAAACTTTTGTTTCCCAAGACTGAGCTCATTGAGAAGATCATTCTGGGTGTTGTGGAGAAGTGTGAGGAGACAGGGAGGACTCCCAAGAGGAGGGGAAGAGAATGAGATCCTCCCTAAAATGGAAAATTAGAAACAGGGGTGGGGTGGGACCAAGAATTCTGTGGGGTCCAAGAGCAACAGGGAGCCACATATCTCTGAAACAGGGCCCAAGGAAGCAGTTGACCTCAGAGGGGCAGGCTGCAGGCTGACCTAAGGAACTGGGCCCTGGCTTCTCATGTTCCCAGACGCACCAAGACCACTGTACTCCAGGCGTGCTAAGAGGGAGCACATGGGCAGACGGCAGCCATCTCCACAGTGACCAGTGTGGGCTGAAGCTCCTTGGATGGAGGTGGGGCCTCCATTGTGCCTCGGCACCATATAAGACCTCAGGATCTTTGCTTCATCTTGAGAAGGGAAACCTTGAGTAAGGCTGAGGTTGAATTTCTTGCTGATCTGGTAGGATGGGCATTCAGAGTAGAAGTTAAGTTGATTTTTTAAGAAAATAAGGTATACCAACTTAGGTCTGAGTCAAACCTTGTTCAGTATCTATTTCCCCTGATGGACCCTGGGCTCTGCAAAAACAGGGACTGTGCTTATCTTGTTCTCTGCTGAAACCATGGTACCTAACACAGGGCTGACACATAGTGGGTAGCTGGTAAATACCTATTAAAAGAATGAGTGCAAGAGATGTCTCCAAGGGCAGTGGGTGCAGCCAATGTCAGGTTCTTGGAAGAAAAATGAGAACCTCAAGAGGTGTTATTGTGCTAATGGTTCAGAGAGTGGTAAAGGGTCTACACTGGGCATGCTGGAGGTCTAGAAGAACTAAGCTTCTAGGACATATGAGGTCACTGGTATGGGCTGGTGGCTACACAAGCATGATCCTACTCCTTCCTCACTGGCACCTGCAAAGGAAGGAACCGTACACTACTTTACACGTAAGGGAACAAACTTCAAGGTTGAGTACCTTGTTTAACATTATATAACTACAAAATGGCAGAACTAAGATTTGAACTCATGCCTGCGTGAGTAGAAAACTCTTGCTTTACCCACCAAACCCAGTGAGCCCAGAGCCCCTGGAGACAGAGTTTTGTGATTTGAAGACCAGGCTGACCTGTTGGTCTGGGCGCCTGAAATCTCACCAATTTAAGGCTTATTTCTTTGGGTGGGGCATCCCCGGTCTATAACTCATTTATACCTTAGTGCTGCACGGTAGCTACATGTGGCTATGAAGTATTTCAAGTGTGACTAGTCTGAATCGAGATGAGCTGTAAGTGTAAAATATGCATCACATTTCAAAGACTTCTTTTGGAAAAAAATAATGTAAAATATTTCATTATTAAATTTTTATATTTATTATATATTGAAATGATAATATTTTGGATATATGGATTAATTTAAACAAAGTACATCATTAATTTAGTTTTACTTTTTAATGTGGCTACTAGAAAATTCAGAGGAAATCCCTAGGCACAAACAGTTAAGCACTCGACTCCTAGCCAAAAGGTTAGCAGTCCGAACTCACCCAGAGATGCCTTGGAAGGACAGGCCTGGTGATCTGCTTCTGAAAGATCACAGCCTTTGAAAACCCTATGGAGTAGTTCTACTCTGCACACATGACCATGCATCAGAATTGACTCCACGGCAAGTGACAACAAGAAAATTTAGAATGACATGTGGCTCGTGTTATATTTCTATTGGACAGCGCTGCCTTAAAGAGATTGGTGAATCTTCTTGCTCCTTTCTCAGTCCTGGTCAACCTTTGGGGAGAGTGGTCTGGGAGGGACATCACAGCTTGGTAGGAGGGTCCTGGATGCCTGAGGGAGAGGGGTGCTGCCCTAGGAGAGGAACTGGGAGGGGCTGGAGAGAGGCATAATTTTTCTTGCCAGGGAGGGCAGGTGTGCCCTTAGAGGCAGGCAGAATCTTGTGAGTTCCTTGCCTGGGGTTCCTTGTCTCCATGTTAACAGTGAAGACAACCATCCAATGTCATCTGCTCCCCCATGTACAGCCCTAAATGGTGTGCACTGCACTTTCACATCCACTGTGGCATTTAATTCCCGCAACCATCTGGTGCAGGGATTATTACTGCATCTCTTTTATAAAGAGGAAACTGAGGCCAGAAAGGGGAAGTGTCACCAGGGACTCAGGCAGAGCAGACTTTTGAACCTCTAGACCTCCCCCGCCCACTCCCGTCTCACCCCAGTCTCTGGTTGTGAAAACAGAATGTGGTTTGGAGACAGGAGGGGAGGGACAGAATTTCAAGGGCCGGCGTGGTCAGCGAAGGCTTCCAGGGGGAAGCGAGGGCTGAAGGATTTGGATAGATAAGAAGGGAAAGGCTATTAGAAGCAGCATGGCGGTTGGAAGGAGCCTGTCATGGGCAGGCAGTGGAGACCCAACTGGCTACAGTGAAAAGCCTCACTGGGGCAGGAGCAGGGGGCAAAAGATAGGCTAGAGCCGGACCTGGGAGGTTTCGAGGGCCAAGCTAAGG